ATCGAACTGGACATCCTATTGCCTTTGAAAGCTCGCTAGATAAAACAAGACTAATCTTACAGGCCGCCTGCTAATCAAGATAATGTTGTGACAGCTGACCCCCTCCCCTGAAAATCTGCTTCGGTTCTCTGCAGTCGCATCGCCAGCATGGATGCGTCCTTGAAGTTTTTTTTTCTCAACCTTGGCTACATTGTAGCTTCGTGTTCCGTTCCGCTATACAAGTATCCAGGATGGCTTTTTGTTTTCATTTGCAATCTGCGGATGCATTCTTCTTTGATGGCAATGGATCATGCTAAGGAGAAAAAGATATTAATTGAAGCTTAATAGTGCTTGTCAATTAATGGCCCTTGCTTAGTTGTAGATTGAACCAGGCAAAGGACAAGGGACACCATTCAATGCCGATTTTACCACCCATACGTGCGTACGTGAGACCAACGACTTGGTGGTATTGTTGCATCAAATGTAATATACATCAAGGTTTCCCGGGAGCTTTGATGTCGCACGCCTTACGCCTTGTCTTGTTATTACAAAGTTACTAATGAGTAGATCCCCGGGGTTTCAGATTATCGGCCATAAGGATATTTCTAGCATCGTCAAATACGCATGACGATGTCTGGCTGCAGAATCCCTCTCATGCACCGGAGCAACCTTCTCCATCGGTTTGTTCCTGGTAAGCTGTGTAGCATCTGTTGTCTATCGCCAGCGTACTTGAATCATTAACATCGGCAGTGATTGTGACCAAGTGCTGCTGAGTGAGTTATGCAGTATTAGAAAAAAAGTGTTTCAAAAAGGATCCCTAGTTCTTTGAGGAATTGGTATCGACATGATGATTGCCAGCTTCACGCGACAACCCAGCAAGTATCAGCTGCACGAATATGAAAATAGAATAGCAGATTACCTTGCAGCGGCTGGGAATGTTGAATACCGCGCCTTTATGATCCAGGAAGCAAAACATATAGGCGAAAAGGAAATATCCTGCCACTGCAAGCGAGAAAAAAAAGAAATCAAAGTTTGGGGGCTTTGTATGATGGCAAATCAAGTGAGACATGCTGGGACACTGGCGTGTCATCCTGTCTTCGCTTTAGCCCATACTGGAACGTGGGGGCCGGGCTGAAGCGACGCCATAGGCCTTCTCTTCTTCATCACACAGACACACACACCCCGCCAACAGATCAGCTCTGCCACCTGCACTGCCTGGCGCTCCACATGCGTTGCGCTTTGCAGCCTCGGAATGCGCGCCCTCTGCTCTGACCGGTGGCTGACGTTGGCCATGGTAGACTAGTAAAAGTTTCCACTTTTACTAGCCACATGCCTTAGTCACGCATCTGCATCCATCTCGGAAGACAACCTGTCAACCCCCATTCCGGCCCACGATGAACAGGCGTGGTGGAGAGGCCAAAACGGAAGCAATGCGGTTGCTGCCGCTTGGCCAGAATCCAGTTCGGTAACCGAGCACAGCTAGCAAGGAACTTGGATATTCGCGCATGCCTAGTCTTCCAGCGGCTTCTACGCTACTCTTTTTTACAAGACGCTCGATGGATGTAGTCTCTGCATTGCTAGTCGGTTTATCGCTGGCAGTGGTGACGTGTGACGAGTTTCAACCGACGCAATCGGGCCTTATCAGCCCTTTCAGAAAGTATAGTACTTTGTACCTCGGCCTGAGTTTCTGTGATCGTAATCATGAAGGCAACCATGTTTTTGTTTGAGTTCAAGGGCCAGAAATCAGCGACGCAGGAATATTTGGCGATAGCGGAGATCTCGTTGATATTGTGAGGCTTTGCTATCGTTGAGTACTTGTTCGGCTTGATGCTGTGATACTGTGGGGAAAACAACGGGTGGAGAACTGTCCTGGTTAGCTTGCAGTTGGCTTCATTCTTGGGGCGCTCTATATGGTTGTCGCTCCGGATGTGGATAACTACAAGCAGCAGGAAGAGAACTGGGTGTAGAAGAGAGTGTAGAAGCTGCCGAGGCAATGCGGACCGCAGATAGTTGGGAGGGGCTAGGATATTGCCTGCCCCCACACAGGGTTTCCAATCCAACGGCGCTGTTGAGGATTTGGGACAAAGATATCCATAATTTTTCACATCATGTGTGTTCTGGGTCGCATTTTTGGTCGCATCTGAAGTTGAATCGCCTGACTCTTTGAGCAGACCAGGAGACTTGAGGAAGTACGTTTGCAAGCCAGCAAGTATCGCCGACAAAAGCCCTCTTCGACAGTACCAAGCTCTCTGACGGCCCGAAGATCTTCGAGATATAGATGAAATGTAATAACAACGATAGAGTCGCCAAGCACACACCTATGGTAACAAGGACAGACCTTGTTGTCGAACTCAAATTCTGCGGTCATGCCCCTCTGCAAGGCTTTCCAATTTTTTTCACGGAATAATCTTGCGTACGTGGGATGTTTGAGAGTCAGAAATGGGAGGGAGGGGTGCAGAAGGTGATCGATGCAACGATTAGCTGGGTTGTCAAGGAAAATTCCCTAGTAGTATCACCGTCTCATTTTGCCTTGTAGGCTGCCAGCTCTATGCACCATGTCCTAGTATACTTAATACGGGTATTTGTGTAAGTGATATTTATAGGTGAAAGAATAGGAACCTAATCACACTGCTATATTACGCGACTGGACATAATAGTGTTACTGCGATACATCTTCTCATGGAGAAGAGACGACTCGCAACCCATGCGCAGACTTGATACACTATAATCTCACTCGTATAGGTGTCTGGAAAGCTCGTATAGTGTAGTCTATCGTGAAAATACTTTTCGTTTTGACTGTTCAGCAGAGATACACTCATGGGTTTCTAGTGTAGACCAGAGTTGGAAGTGTGGGAAAAGTAGTTGTAAGTTAGAGTGACATTCAGGGTAACATCAGATGCACACACATTGCGCTCGCATGATGTCTTTGCAGGGTTGTATCACGACGTGGGTGCCATGCTACCGAGCCGTGCGCTCCTGAGAGCTGGGTTGATGGCCACTTCGCCATGTGATTACACAAATGAAATTGTTTTGACCAGCCCACCTCTAGTCGCAGCATCAGCTACGCCGAAATAGTTCCTACCGAGAATGACCTATACGAACCCTTGCACGGAGTGACAGTTTTCCTAGTTTCCTAGGGCCTCGAGGCGGGCGGTCCGCGCGCTTCCTGCCCCGCCTGAGGACCACTTCGCTAGGTATGACGAGCAAGTCGATCACTGCAGTTTTGCAGCGGATAAAGTCGTCATTGCACATATGTCGATTTGCGATTATCGATTCGGTTCTGGGACCTGCGTTGACAGCTAATTCAGCGCGGCCAAACTTTGGTGGTAGGGGAGCGAGGCTATCAAAAGTATATTCTCACGCCACCCGTATCTGACTCTCGGCATCCCAGGCTCAAAATGCGGATCGACTTATGGACATGGTTGCAAACAAGTGGCTATCGGTAGAGACATGAGCCCCCGACCAAACAAAGCCAATCATGGGCTGCAGATCAGCGGACAAAGGCCCTATTGTAAGAGACTCACGTTTGAGACTACTTCCCTGCCTCGAATAAGGCCAGGATATGGTCGGTGACAAACCTTTGAATGACGCAAATCTACGCGAGAGTGAAAAAACGAAAGAAAGTGAGCGAGCTGGTAAGGCCGCGGTACGAGTTTGTAAGCGAGGTGTAACCGGTCAAAGACTATCTACCTGAGGGTGTTGATGTTAAGGAGACGAGGCTCCGAGGCATTTGTGTAACGTCATGAGGCTGCATATGCACATCATACACATATATAAGTGAATAGACAGCGAAGCACATGTGCAAAAGACGGGGAAGGGACAGGCAGTCAATGGCAAGGCATGGCAAGGCTGGCCCTAAGTATGTACCCCGGGAAGAGAGTGGTTTAGGAGGGCGTCTTCGGTGAAACTGCTCGGGGCAGACGGTATAACGTCGGAGATTTGCCAGGTTACGGGCGATCTCGAGGTTGAAGGATGACGGTTAGAACGTGCTTGCCACGTGTGTATGGAGTAATGTGGTGGAGTCCTATTGGGAGAGCAGGTGGGAGGTACGAGAGGGCCTCAGACTTGTGCCGTGTTGCAGAGATGAGGGGGCTTGGAAAGAAAAGAGCTGTGTGGTCAGGCCTGACTCGAGGCCGTGTTCTGGGCTGTATGTGAAAGGCGCCACTTCGCTTGCAGTTGGGAACCCATGTTCATTGCGCCCGAATCGGAAGGCGACCTACACCATGGCTTGTTTCAGCGCTCGGTGTTGGGCCTGGGGCGGCATGGTGGATAGGAGAACGAGTGCTAGGCTGAGGACAGAGGTCCAGTGTTTTCGGCAGCTCCGCAACCATAATGCACCCACACGCATGCGTGTGGAAGTGCCATGTGTATGGACATGAGGAGAGGAGCTTGGTAGAGGGCACGTCGGGTGTCTGTCATCAGGCGTGGTGGTGGTGAAACGACCAGAGTACTCGAGGCCCGGCCCAGTCCCACGGAAGAGCACAAGACAGGCATTTCTTTTGCCATTCTAGTGCGCATGTCGTGGTGGATCCTCGTCCGTCAGCGCTGGCACACAGCCCAGAAGCGGAGATACGAGTTGGTGCCAGGGGCGTTTGCATGTTTGGTTGGCTGGTGGGAAAGCTTGGGTGACAGGCATGCGGCGTGGTTAGCCGTGTTCCGCGTCGGCCCGCATGCTGTGCAACAAATCAGCGCCGTGCATCCTCGCCCTAACCCTTCTTCGCATCCCGAAAAGCCCGCCCAGCGACAGCCCCCCATGTCGCATGGCCAGCAGGGTCAGAGCACCCTGAGTGCGGCCAGATAGGCGTTGAAGGTAAACTCAACGGGCATGGTGCATGACACTGCCCTGGCCCGGACCATGGCACTGGAAGCCGCCTTATTTGGCTTTATCTGCGTCAAGCCGCTCGCGCAGTGGGGGGCCTATAACTATACCCCCGGTTCCAGCTGCAACTGAACCCCTTCGCGACGATTCTGCTGAAAACCGCTCGTTATGCTGTGAGGACAGAAGCTGCCTTGTAGTCATCATGGCGGGCTCAATCACGGACAATCGCTTTGACATCATCAATGGAAAGCAACTGGCTTTGCTTATTGCACCTCTCCTCTGCTTTGTCGTAGCTTCGGTCGCTGTCGCCGCGAGATGGTACACCAGGAGCGTGAGAAGAATCAACACCCTGACCGAGGATGTCCTCATGCTGGCTGCTCTGGTAAGGCTGAATGCTTGCTTGGTTGATGTTGAATCAGGCTGACATTCCAAAGGCTATGAGCTTCGTCGTAGTTACCATAGTTTACGTTTTGGTTTTTCTAGGTGGCGAGGGCTTGACAAGTGATCAGATCAAGGCGGATCCGACAAAGGATTTCGACGTCGTAAATCGGTTCTGGCTACGAGTACGTCTGAAGCCAGTCATTATAATCAACTCATCGCTAACTCACATTCAAGTTGCAATTCGCACTCGACATATGCTGGGCCACATCCATTGCCACTGTTCAAATCGCTTTCGCCAAGGCCTATCTCCGCCTGTATGAGAGAAAACGCATCGCTCAGACCGCTTGCTGGTGTTCCATAGGGCTGATCTCCATCTGGTACATCTGGTCGCTCGCCGGCTGGATCAGCATGTGCCACCCACCTGGAAAGTGTGAGCTGCAGAGCAAAAAATCATGTATTATCATCGGATCGCTACACGTCTTCTTCAACAGCATCATCCTATTTGCCCCAGTGCCCGCAATTTTAGCAGCCGAGCTATCGGCCAAGAAGAGGTGGTCCGTAATGATTTTGTTTCTTCTGGGATGCTTGTAAGTCAAAGCGTTCAACAGTCCAGTGCAGGAGTTACTAACAGTGTACAGCTGCACAATCCTCGCCGTCCTGCGCATCGATTGCGCAATCAACGTATTCGGCGACGTGAACGAAGATCCCATTGGTGCGTCTTGGTGGCGTGTCTGCTTCTCGCCTATTGAAGTTGCTGTCGGAATTGTCTGTTGCTGTGTTCCTAATGTTCGTTCGTTGCCATCCTGGCGTAGGGCTTCTCCAATCACGTCCAACGAAAGTCACGGTCTCCGCCGACTCAAGTTCCGGACGACGAGTAGTGGTTCTTCTACGTCGAATTTGAATGAGCCTTCGCAATGGATGCCGCACGCCTCGAAACCACAAGCCGCTGCATTCGTCACTCTGAACAGCGACTCGGATACCCTTGAGCGGACCGGATCTCTAGGCGCGAACGAGATCAAAATCACCAAAGAGTACAATCTCGATCGGCTGTGATTTTAGAGTGATAATTATATCAAGATTTTAAAAACCCGAGCCTGATTTCCTTCGGTGTTGAGAAAAAAAATAGATGTTTGTGGAGCACGTTGCTACTGGATGCAGAATGCCAATCTAATTATCCGCAAGTGCCAACAACAGTAACGGCAGCTGCGGTCGGGTCTACCCGTTACCAACGCGTAGGGATGACGTCACTGCCGTACTTAACTTCCAACCATCACTCTTGATCAACACCTCTTCACACCACTACCCACCGAACCTGAGAAGCACACAGCATGGCACCCAGACCGAACGCTCGCATCACCACCCTCCTCCGTTACACATACCAAGCCAACATGGTCTTTTTCGCCGGATTTGCAACGTGGTATTTCTTAAGGAGTCTGGACCAGAAAGTGTCAGAAGATCCACGCCGACAGAGCAGCGCGGATAACCCAAGAACGAAGTCGTAATCCTGAAGGAGCAGATGGTATGCAAGGACGCTCGGAAGAAAGATGGATTTGCATGACAGTGATATAGAAGAGAAGGGCGTCAAGCCAACCCCTGCTGTGCTGGGGGTGACGAAAGAAGAAATCAAGGAGCAATCCTTAGGCTCGGGAACGATGTATTTTACGCGAGACTAGACACTAAACGGCAACGACATACTATTCCCCACCAACAGTCGCGATCGACGGGCCTAGAAGTTGGGACATACCAGCATGTAGTTTCTGTGCTTTCGCTTGTTCATTCAAGCATGCACCCCCCGATATCAGCCATTGATCGGCATAAAATAAATTCTAATACAATGTTTGACCCAGCATGCATTACTGATGTTGCTCCTCCACATTAGGTATCTGCCAAGCGCCTTCGGTTGTCACGTGTTTAACCGTTTCCAGTGCTACCCAAGCGCCCCCCCTTCCCAGACATCTACAATACGAATGCACTCATATTGACGCACTGCTCCTCATTATCAGAAACCGGAAGTATTTGTACCTTTTGGTGCCCCCAAGAAAGAGCGTGTTACCCACTTCCAGTCGCTATATGAGGCCATTTGCGCAACTTTACAATCCACATCCTTCGCGTTACTGGATTATCGAGCCTACCAGAGGCAAGCACGCTAAGCCATGCTTGTAATATGCATGCTTCCTACACACCTCAACAGCAGCATTATGTGAGAGAGTTTAGGCTTACACTTCGTTGTCATTGGTACATCTCTTTTTTACCCACATACTCTCTCATGCATCTCCGCTTCCTTCCCCATGGGCTACGTGTAGCACCATCACACCATGCAGTTATTCTTATCCAAGCAGCTTAAGAGCACTTTGCTTACATCATGGCATCGATCTATCCATAGTGATTCTCTGCCCAATTCCATCATACTCCATCGTCGTCATGCTCCGTACACCGCCCCTACTCTTCCTTTCCGCCATGCTCGTAGACCTCATCTTAGCCATCACACTCATCTCGCTCTTCGCCTCCGCATACCCCGATCGATTCCGTACCGCCCTCTGGCAAAACGGTGGCTCCGAAGGCTGGAATTCTGATCCCCAGCAACGTGTGTACGACTATGCAAACTACCGCGAGTCGCCTCCCATGCCCTTGATTTGGGATCAAACGTACGTCCGAGGTCACTGGCCTCATATACAGTATGTGTATCTACTGGAAGCTGATATAGCGAGTAGTTCCACAATGTTCCACCTGGTGATCGCCGTCATAGCGCTCTTTGTATGGATCGTGCGCTTCCAAGTCAATTGCCTTAGTGGATACGTACTCGACCTTCATGCGAGTATCATGACGAACGCAATGTACGATATACTTCTGGTCGGCCTCTATGCATCTAGCGCGGTACTGCAGAACTCGGGTGACTTTTCGGATCCTGGGCATGTCGGTTTGAGGCCTTGGTATCTGGAGCGGGGGTGTAAGGACGCGTGGGAGCGGACACGGGGTGGGTGTGAAGTTATGAGGGTGTCATATGGCGTGACGGTGTTTGCTGTGTAAGTCATGTAAAGGGTCTTTTGTTATTTCAAGGGCTTATCCCAAGAGGTCCTGGCTGATGTGATGTTCGTTTAGGATATGGTGCTGCCTCCGCTTCATGACGACATGTTTGTATCTTGCATACATACTTGGCAGAGAGCATGAGATTCAAGATGTGTTGCCCGATTACGATGAATTTTCCGAATGCAAAAACATGGGTCACATATCTTGAACGCATACTTCCATATGCATAACGAGTGGATATGGGTACTCTATAATGACACCAGCATGATATGCACAATGGGAATCAATCAAACCAGACCTTCTCAGACTCTGGATTATGCTTTACTGGCTACTAGGAGAGCTCAAATTTGCTTGAATCATTGCCATTTTTGGCCAACTTTCGATCGAGATTCCTATCGGAATGGTTCTCTCTAACAACAGCACGAATACCACGTGACTGAACAGTACAAAGCCGGTCGACACGTGACCATCCACATCCTTTTATGCAGCGTCTTATGCCTCGATAGAATAGCTATCTTAAGCGTCGCATGATTCAATAAGTCATCAATTGAAAGGACCAAAAGAGTGGTTGTTTCCAGTTCACTGATATACCAATGCTCCTACCGACACTGTGAACAAGACTTCACTGAGCTCAAGTCCTTCGATGAGTGGAAATATAGTATTCAGATTAGTAGCAAATATGTCTTTTACAACGGCTCTCTTCAGAGAAACACATTCATACTTAACGCCACCATCTCTGCACTTGACAAATTACTTTCTTAGTTGCTTCGGTACATGACCATAGTAAACTCTAAGGGTGAGCGATTGGCACTAGACCAAAGTGTATCGAGCAGTCTTCCATCTTTCATATACCAATCCTTGGTATAAAAGCGGTGAGTGTACCTTTTGATTTCACACTGACTACACTGCTGAGCAAAAGTGAAATACGCCCGCAGCAAAGTTCTTCGCTTTATAGTCAAGATCCTAAGAGCAAAGAGCTACGAAAGCTGGATGATGTGTTTCTGATTGATCATGGCCTTCACTCAACCATATTCTGGATACTCTTCACAAAACAACTCAGATGAGATCCACCAATCACCAATTCCAAATGTGATATCAGAGATTGCGAAGAAGATCCTGCAGTCTGTACCATCACCTCCAACATTTGGATCCTCAACGCCCTCAGCGAGGGGAGAGAGCAATACGAGGTATTGTTGCTTAATCGTCCTTTAGTAGGCTAAAATCATATCAAAGATTATCAATGCTCACACTACCATGTCTTTCGAAAGCGAAGGATGCAGGCTCACTATTGATGAAGTTTGGATAGCAACCTTCCAGTCAACCAAAGGATTCGGGCGGGGCGATCTTTTTGCTTTCCATGGAAGGGGGAGCTTAATGTACGAGGAGAGGGTTTTGGGGAAGACTAGCGGTAGCTTACCAAGAGAGTTTGTCAGCTTGTTCTTGCATAACGAGTATAAATCATTCTTATATGATAACGTAGCTAAACTTGATGGAGCTTGATGCCTTTGCCGGTCACTCTACTTCTTCACTCAAAATTTTGTGGTCTCTAATCGTTTAATCTTGACTGTCTTTCGGCCGTCGGAGATAGATATACTCTTGGTCTTGTATCAAGAGAAGAAGCTTGTTGTCATTGAGAGGCTAGAGAGCGGCATGTCGGAAACTCCTGATCATTTCGGCGCTGAGCCTGAGTATCTCAAACTCCGGCTTGAGAAATTGCCCAAGACACTCGATATGCCGCGATGGAGCTGTCAGCAACACCCAGTCTTGTCAGTTCTTAATACTCCCGGTTTTATCAACACTGCAGACACCTCCGATAGTGCACAATGTCATTGATTCTACAGCCTAGGCTAACGAAGTCATCTCCGGGATGACTTTCTTCTATTACACCTTTCCGCATGTGAAATATGACTCAGCCATGAAGTCACCATGCACACACAGATTTACTCCGAGTTACTAAGGTCATTATTTAATGCACATCTTATGTGGACGTGATAAGATGAGACTGGAAAACACTAAGACAGCGCACGGTAACAACGAGGAGCAGTGCATCACGTAAATAGTCCCGCACCACCTATGAACGCGGCGGTCTCTTCTCCGAGTACACAAATGACGTGTATTGGTTCAGAAGTTAGTACGGAAAGATATTAAGAGCCTACGCGGCAGACCGGACATCCGTGAGCGCGGAACTGCTCATCTCCGTTATTGGATGAACCAGGCTGCACACGTGTACAACATCCAGCTCTTGACGAGGCACGCATCTTCTCTAGGCTACACGACCGATTAAAGGCGGCAAACTCCAGACAAAGCCACGGGAGACCGTGAAAGGAAGGCCGCACCAAGGCCGAGAATCTTCGCGCGTCCTGACAAGGGACCGCTGCATGCGTATGACCAGAGCAAATGAACATGTTACGCGGTCGAGACATAGCACATGGCGTACAAATCGCCGATCGCGCGACACAATGCAAGACAGAATGTACGCCGGACGAACGAAAAGAAAAACGGTCAAAAGAAGAAATACGCCCTTGGTGTTCCAGCGAGGGGTTTGCGCGTAAGTACGTAGCGTACGTTTCAATTCCATCGTGCCACACTAGGCATCTAGTACTACGCTGAAACAAAACGGGAAAACAAAGAATATCCGTAAGCAGCCCAACAGCTAAAATAGACTTACCATGATCGAGATGAACCATACTTGGAAACAACAGCAGAAAAAAAGTATATCTCGATACTCGATACGAGACCAGATACAGTGAGAGAGAGAAGGGGGGAAAGCATATGCTTAGCTACACAAAACTGTAATAATTCGAGGCCTCCCCAAAAAAGCAGCCACCGCACCAACACTAAAAAATGACAACGCCAAAACACCCCCTTCCCCAACCAATCCAACCCCCAGCTAACCCAAAAAACCAGAAAACCAAAAACCCAAAAACCCAAAAAACCACTCGCAGCCAATTTCCGCCCCACAAACTCTCACCACCAAAGAAACCCACCTATCACCTTTCTAACTTTATTGACTCTTGCGTAAGCCA